GTCTCCTCTGTGACTCTGTGACTCTGACTCTGCTCCAGCGGCAGCAAATGTTCCACACTGCAGCTTTAAACACAAGGAGGCAAGAAAACACAAAACAACCACAACAACAACGAGGACGAGGACGACGACGACGACGAGGAGCATTTGGAACATTTTAAAAACACAATATTCTTTTTTTTTTTTTAAATACACGACGCTGAATCCTGCGAGTATCACCGATTAAGAAAATAAATGTGGAGAGTGCATTTTTGAGTGCACTTTCTCTGACAACAATTATTATTTTGTTGGGAAAGATTTTGTATTTTTAAGGCTTCAACAACATCACATTTCTGTTTAAAATACTATAAAAATATAACTCACAGTCAGAACAATCTAGAAATAATTGGAGCAAAATAGGAGAAGGAATATTTTATAATAATAATCATATCATCATCATCATCATCGTTGTTGTTCTTGTTTATGTCTCGTGTTTTTTTAACCCGGTAACAAACAGACAATGGAGCAGTGGAGCGACCTGATTGGTCAGAATTTGCCTCATCTAAACCTCAAACCCCGCCCACAGATCAGAACGGCCAATAGGAAACAGCCTCTGTCCTCCTCACTCACAGGATCGACTCTTCTGACTCGGCATTTTGGACCTTTCTGGCAAAATTTACACTCTCGGAATTTGACACTCGGAATTTTACACTCGGAATTTTGACTGTTGAATTTGAGGCTTGGAAATATTTGTGTTGAATATTTAAAAGGTGATTTATGGAAGATAATTTGTTCCATCAGATTGTGAATTTTAAATACAACAGAATTTCTAACTTAGAATTTTTTTTTTATCTGAAAAACAAAAAAGATATTTGAATTATTTTTATTCTGAATTTGAGTAGCTGAAATTTCAAATGAACTTTTTCAACCAGATCACTTCACTGCAGCTTTTCCTGTTACTGTTACTACTTTAGATTTCGATGCTTCTGCTTTGGCGTCTTGGATCTTTGCTGCAAATTTCACTCTCTGAATTTTACACTCTGAATTCTGACTGTTGAATTTGAGGTTTGAAAATATTTATGCTGAATATTTAAAAGGTGATTTTTTTTTTTATGTTGAATTTTAAACTCTTTGCACTTCAAGTTTGATTAACTGACATTCAGAATAAAAATATTTTAATAATTTTTTATTTATTTTTTTTTTTTTTCAGAGTTGAAAATTTCAAAGTGAGGAATTCATCGATGTTTAAAATTTAAAATTCAAAATTTAAAATCTCAAGAAACAAATTATCTTCCGTAGACTTGAGTCCTGGAGTTGCCGATCTCGACTGAACTAAAGGAAACTGAGGCTTTTTATTTGAAAAATATTTAACTACTACTACTACTAATTTCAGCTGCTAAAATTAAGAATAAAAATATTTTCAAACATTTAAAAAAATTTAATGTGAGAATCTTTCATAGCCTGGAGTTGCTGATCTCTACTGAACTAAATTTTTAAAATTAATTTTTTAAAGTACACTTAAAATTTCAGCTACTAAGATTCAGAAAAAAAAATTACAAACATGTTTTTCAGAATAAAAAATAAATAAAATCAGTGGTATTTAAAAGTCAAAATCTGATGGAACTAATTATCTTCCGTACGAGTCATCCAGATGATTCTAGTGAAGGTGTGTGGAGTTTAAAAACACAGTGGAGCACTTCTGTATCACCACATGATGACATCACCAGGTGGAAGTGTGTGTTTTCAGTCACCCTCCTCTTTCCTCTTCTTCTTCGTCTTGGTCGGTGTGACCCTGACGTCTCCCGTGTGTGTTTTAAATGAAGCTGCAGGTTTGTTTGTGTGAGGAGTGTCAGATTTCCTCCTGCGCCTGAACGCTCCGTCGCTCCTGTCGCTCCTGTCGCTCCTTCGCTCCGTCGCTCCTGTCGCTCCTGTCGCTGCTCCTGTCGCTCCTGTCGCTCCTGTCGCTCCTGTCGCTCCCGTCTGTAACGTCACATCATCAACACGAGACGCCTGCCGCAGAGTCTGTCAAAACACAGAAGAAACAACACCGGAAAAAAGACTCACTCACAGCAGCTCACCCTGATGTAACAGATAATACTCCCTACAACTGTACGACTCACCCTGATGTAACAGATAATACTCCCTACAACTGTACGACTCACCCTGATGTAACAGATAATACTCCCTACAACTGTACTCACCCTGAAACAGATAATACTCCCTACAAACTGTACAGACTCACCCTGATGTAACAGATAATACTCCCTACAACTGTACAACTCACCCTGATGTAACAGATAATACTCCCTACAAACTGTATGACTCACCCTGATGTAACAGATAATACTCCCTACAACTGTATGACTCACCAGATAACCTGTAACCTCCTACAACTGTAACCACCCTGATGTAACAGATAATACTCCCTACAACTGTATACTCACCCTGATGTAACAGATAATACTCCTACTAACTGTAACTCACCTGATGTACAGATAATACTCCTACAAACTGTACGACTCACCTGATGTAACAGATAATACTCCCTACAACTGTACTCACCCTGATTGTACAGATAATACTCCCTACAACTGTATCAACCACCTGATGTAACAGATAATACTCTACAACTGTATGACTCACCCTTATGTACAGATAATACTCCCTACAACTGTTACGACTCACCCTTATGTACGATAATACCTACAACTGTATGACTCCCCTGATGTAACAGATAATACTCCTACAACTTGAGTAACAGATCACTGTATGTAACAGATGTAGATACTACCCTACAACTGTATGACTCACCTTATGTACAGATAATACTCCCTACAACTTATGACTCACCCTGATGTAACAGATAATTACTCCTACAACTGTATGACTCACCCTGATGTAACAGATAATACCTACAACTGTATGACTCACCCGATGTAACAGATAATACTCCCTACAACTGTACGATCACCTGATGTGAGCCTCCTACAACCGACTCACCTGATGTAAACAGATAATACTCCCTACAAACTGAGGATGTAACAGATAATACTCCCTACAACTGTATGAACTCCCCCTGTTGTTAACAGATTAATACCCCTACAACTGTATGACTCACCCTGAATGTAACATATAATACTCCCCCAACCCTGTGTAACAGATAGACGACTCACCCTGAGTAACAGATAATACTCCCAAAACGTACGACTCACCCTGATGTAAAGATAAACTCCCTAAATGTATTCACCCTAAAAGAAAACTCACCCTGATGTAACAGAATAAAAACAGAACTTAAGGAATACTCACGAAATGATGTAACAGAAAAACTCCCTAAACCTGTACTCATCACAAGTATGACTCACCCTGATGTAACAGATAATACTCCCACAATCTCAGAGTACAAAGAGAGCATTGACTGTACGACTCACCCTGATGTAACAGATAATACTCCCTACAACTGTATGACTCACCCTGATGTAACAGATAATACTCCCTACAACTGTACGACTCACCCTGATGTAACAGATAATACTCCCTACAACTGTATGACTCACCCTGATGTAACAGATAATACTCCCTACAACTGTACGACTCACCCTGATGTAACAGATAATACTCCCTACAACTGTATGACTCACCCTGATGTAACAGATAATACTCCCTACAACTGTAGACTCACCCTGATGTACCGACTCCCTGGTCAGAGCCCCCCCCCGTGGGTCAGAGCCCCCCCCCCCCCCCCCTGTGGGACGTCTGCGTCTCGTTCTGTCTGATTCTTTTCTCCAGGTTCAGAGGAAAATTCAAACTTTGAACTTTTAATTAAAAATCTGACGATAAAAAAAAAAAACTTTACATCAGATTTAACGAGTTCAGAATGAAAATGTCCAGACGAGTAAAAGCAGAAGCAGTTTTCTCCTCCACGTGTTTGAGTCATGATCTGATCTGAAATGTTCTGCTTTTGAAGAGGAAACGGTCAGACCTCCCTCTCCCCAGACGCCTCCTCCCTCTGCTCTCAGTTTTCCTCCAGGAATCTAGAGTCACTTTTTCTTTCAGGAGCTCGAGTCCTGAAGTTTAAAGTTTTAGGAGCAGAAGTTGGTTTCGTTTGGAAAGAACTGGAACTTTACCTGAATGAATTTTATACAAAAACTAAATCCTTCTGTGTGTGTTTCCCTGTGTGACGCTGGTTTTGGGCCAAACCCTCGAGTCTTGGATTTGTCCAGAGTTTCTTCCTACAGACGAACAGAAAACTGAATTAAATAGAATAAAAAATTAAACTTCAGATTAAGTTTGGACAAAACTCATGTTGTTCTGTAGATCAGGTTTTGTAATGAGGTCGATGTGACGTCTTCTCTGGCCTCACAGCAGAACGATCACACTGTGTGTGTGTGTGTGTGTGTGTGTGGGGGGGGGGGTTCTGGAATTTTATGGGCGGGTAGTAAATACACATGGGCAGGTCAGGACTAAACCAGGACTAAGCGAGAGAGAACCCTGAACCCGTGGTGTAGTCCTGGTTTAGACCTGGTTTAGACCTGGTTTAGTCCTGGTTTAGTCCTGGTTTAGTCCTGGTTTAGTCCTGGTTTAGACCTGGTTTAGTCCTGGTTTAGACCTGGTTCAGTTTCTGGTGATGAGTGGAATTACAGAAAAAAAAAAAGAAAAAGGGATTTAGCCCAAAATGTAAAAACAGTTAAAATCCGTCTGTTTAATCCATTTATTTCAACAAAGTAACTGTAATCCAATTACCACTCACTGAAACAGTAACTGTAACTGAATACAGTTACTCATCATTTGTACTCTGATTACTCTGGTACATGTAATCTGTTCCTCCTCGACACTGGACACATTTTACAAAGTTTAACTCGTCACGTTTCTCTTTATCGCGGCGCCTGATTTGTTTTTCTCAGTTGTCAAAATATTTCCTCTCAGAAGTGAGTGACGTGTGCAAACTGTCTCTGTGGTTTCCCTCTTCCCAGACACCTCCTCCTCTCTCCTCTCCTCTTTGTTGAACGTGTGTCTGGTCTCCTCAGATATCCGTGGTCTGCAGAGTTTCCTGGACCAGACGTCGAGGCAGGGAGTGGACGTGGCTCTTCAGCGCGTCGAGAGGAACATCTCCAAAGTTTTCACCAACCTGTTCACCACCATGAAAACCGAAGAACTGAACCGATACAGAGACACGCTGAGGAGAGCGATTCTCCTGCTGAGCCCCACCACCGCCCACTCCTTCATCCTGCAGGTGAGACGCACCACAGGTGACACAGGTGAGACAGGTGAGACAGGTGAGACCGCCCACTCCTTCATCCTGCAGGTGAGACGCACGGCAGGTGAGACAGGTGAGACACGGCCACTCCTTCATCCTGCAGGTGAGACGCACCACAGGTGACACAGGTGAGACAGGTGAGACAGGTGAGACAGGTGAGACAGGTGAGACACTGCAGGTGAGACGGTGACCAGGTGAGACACGGTGACTGACACGCCCACTCCTTCATCCTGCAGGTGAGACAGGTGGTGAGACGCAGTGACACACAGGTGAGACAGGTGAGACAGTGAGACAGGTGAGACAGGTGGGGGGTGTGGGGGTCACTGACTGTGGGACCGTGGTCCTGGACACTCCCCCCACACAGACGGAGGCAGGTTCAGGGTTCAGATTCAGGTTCAGATTCAGGTTCAGGTTCAGGTTCAGGTTTCAGGTTCAGGTTCAGGTTCAGGTTCAGGTTCAGGTTCAGGTTCAGGTTCAGGTTCAGGTTCAGATGTTCCTCTGTTAAAGTCTCAGGTCGTTTTCATCTCAACTTCTCCTGATGAAACAGCAGCAGGTAGAACTTTGTCCAAACTCACCACATCAGCCCAGAACAGAAGAACTGAGCTCAGGAAACAGAGATAAAGACACAGAGTCTCTCCACAGACCCTCAGGACGGGACTGGGCTCTGGTCCTTGGTCTTGTGTCGTCCTCCAGGTGCGTTGGTCAGATGGTCCAGAGGCCCAGACCCAGACCAGTACTGTGGACCTGAGTGGTTCTGTGTCGTCCTCTGTGCTCTGGTTTCATGTGGGGAACCAGACTCCAGGTCTGGTCTGCTCTGGTCCTCTGGGCTCCAGGTCCTCTGGGCTCCAGGTCCTCTGGGCTCCAGGTCCTCTGGGCTCCAGGTCCTCTGGGCCCAGGACTCTGGATGGTTCTGAGTTGGTGCAGCATCTGGACAGAAGTGTGAGTCCAGTTTGTTTTGTTAGATGTTCTTCTGAGCGTCCGTCCTCAGGGAAGAACCTCTCCTCACTCCAGCTCCTCTGAACCTGAACCAGAGCTGCTCCCGCTGGGTCTGGACTCTGGTCTGGACTCTGGTCTGGACTCTGGTCTGGACTCTGGACTTTGGTCTGGACTCTGGTCTGGACTTTGGTCTGGACTAAACCAGGACTAAACCAGAACTAAACTGGACTAAACCAGAACTAAACCAGGACTAAACCAGGAACTAAACCAGGACTAAACCAGGACTAAACAGGACTAAACCAGGACTAAACCAGGACTAAACCAGGACTAAACCAGGACTAAACAAGAGATTAAAATTCCTCCTAAAATATTTCCACAT